CACACACACACACACACACACACACACACACACACACACACACACACACACACACACACACACACACACACACACACACACACACACACACACACACACACACACACACACACACACACACACACACACACACACACACACACACACACACACACACACACACACACACACACACACACACACACACACACACACACACACACACACACACACACACACACACACACACACACACACACACACACACACACACACACACACACACACACACACACACACACACACACACACACACACACACACACACACACACACACACACACACACACACACACACACACACACACACACACACACACACACACACACACACACACACACACACACACACACACACACACACACACACACACACACACACACACACACACACACACACACACACACACACACACACACACACACACACACACACACACACACACACACACACACACACACACACACACACACACACACACACACACACACACACACACACACACACACACACACACACACACACACACACACACACACACACACACACACACACACACACACACACACACACACACACACACACACACACACACACACACACACACACACACACACACACACACACACACACACACACACACACACACACACACACACACACACACACACACACACACACACACACACACACACACACACACACACACACACACACACACACACAAGTGCACGAATGAATTGATTATAAATTCGTCAATAAATTCAATCCTTTTACAAATTTATAAATAAAACTGTAAATTCGCAAATAACCTTTACGAAGCAAATATTGTCAATTTTGAAAGTACCATACAATGATCAGCAGTTTCTATAAACTATCAGTAGTCATTTATCAAAATCACAGAAAATCGGACCAACATATTTGAGAATGTAAGAATAAAAAGGGTTATAAAATGTGATTATAAAATTCTTGAACCCTCTTGAACCTGACGTGTCTCGCTTGATGGAACATAAAAATAAATGCAGTTCGAAGTTTGATACAACGATTGTATTATATGGTCCCGACGCAGTAGAGTCGACAAAATTTCGTTAAACAAATTCGACGAGATTGCGAGAAATCATGAATCTGCTTTGGCAGCCACGCGTTCAGATTTGCTTAAGCAGCGCGAGTAGATTAAGTAAATCGAAACGAACGCGATAGAACGATCGCCGAGTGCTCATTACGCGGTCGTAAAAAAAAAGAAGTGAAACAGAGGTAAGGAGGAGGTGAGGAACGGGAAACGGGGATAACGTAAAGGAAACGAGAGTCGAACGGCGGAACGAAAAGTCTCCGGGCCGAATAAAATACGTAGCAGGCTCGTTTAATGCTCGTTGAGCAATACCCACCTCGCGACGCCTGTCTGCCTGGGAATTCCTCTTTTAAAGCTCCCCGGGAACCCCGAAGCGGACAGATAGAAGTCTCTTATTCCCGGACGACTTTCGGATGGTGTTCCCTCGTGCAGTAAATCGCTGCGTCTTCCCGTTGTTTCTGCGACCGTTGCCTCGCCGACGAATCGAATCTCTTCCCACCGATCGCGGAGCAATGCCATTAGCATCGATGACCTATCAATTAACACCTAGAACTATACCGAACACCGCGGACTTTTATGCGAAATAAATATCGTTTGTGTCGAGTGCAAGAAACACAAACTAAATAGCAATTTCATTCTTTTCTTAACGATTCTAATACATTGAATGTAATGCATTGGCATTTTAAAACGCTTTTAATCTTCTACTTTAAAATGAAACTTGCCGTAAATGCATAAAATCCTAGCGATTAGTATTGCGTTGACTTTTAAAAACAACAGGATTGCATTTGCGATGTCGATGCTCGACTCTTCGAACATGATACAGTAAATTCTGCCTAGAATGCCAAATTGCGGGTTGCTGTGAATTTCCCTGTGCTACGTCTACGCGATTCATTGTTCCGTCGTTGCTCCCTATAATAATTTTCAAATGAAAATAATTCAGCTATATTTCGGACCTAACTGAGTCGTCGAATAGCTTATCTGTAGACTTCTGACAATTGAATAGTTAAAATCGTAGCAAATGAAATCTCGATGCCGAAATAAATATGAATCGTCTACAAACGAAACGGGCAAATTAGTTTCTCTTTCGTCGGTACGAATATGTCGAAGAAAATAAAGTGGAGACTAGATTTCCAAATCTAGAATAAACTTGCAAAGTTTCGGCCAATCGTAGACGGTTCAGAAATCAGGAGTCGATTTCGCGCGTGAACGGTGTCGCGATGATTCCGCTGTTTCATTTCGCCGCTGTCCAAAGAGGATTCCTTTAATCCAAACCGTGTTCTCGCGAGTCACGGGAATAAATTTCGGATAATTGAATTTCGCAGGAAGACGGATGGCAAGGACGAGTGCATCGTGGCGCAGGAGAAAATGCATCCTGCGTGCGCGCAGCGAGTAGAGGGATCGGAAATGCCGACCTGCCACAGCCTGGCCCAGAACTGCAAGAAGACCGCCGCCTGCAAGTAAGCTAGACGAAACAAGAACGCCGGTGATTCATTTGTTCTTTTTTACCGCCTAGCATGTGTTTCTTCTGTCGGCGCATTTTCGAAAGTTGGCAGAATTGGCGCAGTAGAATTAAATACGGTAATGTCTCCCCAATTGACGCTCAGATTGTCCACAAAAATGGACAATTCTGGGAAGAGGAGATACGGTTATTCGAGCCTTGCGGCTCGCTTTTATAATTGTTGATAATCGATAACCATAGAAAACGAGCCACAAGACTTGAACAATCGTATCTCCTCGTCCAAAAATTTCCATTTTTGTGAACAATCTGAGCGTCAATTAGAAAGACATTACTGTGTGCTTAACGCGACGTAACGAGAACGATAGATATTAGGAACACGATGAAACGCTGAACGACGATGAACTAACGTGCACGATAAAGAAGACGACGCACGGATGACAATTTGTAAATGGCAATACGATGCATCGATGACACGATAGTGTATTATCGATTGTATTATATTTTATTGTCTGGGTCGAAATAGTCCCCAGCCCCCCCTTTTTTTATTCAGTTTTATTTAAGTTTGAACATCGCTGTGATTAATTACCATTTAGTAGAGAATGCATATATTGACTTGGTAAGATTCAACGTAGCAGATAATTCTCAGTGCGATCAACTACTGTCATTTCTCAATGGTTTAATTAAAGAGCAGAGGACGGCTGTGAGCGCTGCCACTAAATCGGTCAAAAAGGGACTTGACAAAAGTGTTTAATCACGGGTATTGGTCGACTATTTGTTCCCGATATCTTCGGCGAAAATCTCTTTTACACGAACCCGCTGGACGGTCGAATAACGCCGAAAGAATGACTCGACGGACACTGTAGGCACGCGTGCGCCGAGAGGATTACCAGTTGCGAATTGTGAGAATTAACTGTATTCCCCTCTCTTTGACGACTATTATCAAAGCCAACTCTCCCATTGAACGTTTCTAGAACCGACGAACACAGCACGATCAGATCCTTCGAGCTAACTTTATGGGACGCGGTATAATACCCGCGAACGAATTTTCACCGGCACCGAAACGTTCCGTGAACCTGCGCGAAAACGGTGCGCCAAACAATTTCGAGCTGAACAATTTTTAACGCGGCGAACAGTTTTAAAAGCGTGCACACTTTGTGACTTAGAAAACCGTCGAGAGGCCGCGGGAAAAATTGTCGATCTTGAAAATAATTGCTAGGTGTGCCGAAACAGTTCTAACAAGGCTTCCGAATAATTATACGAGCCTATGAACAAACTTCTGTGCCCTTCGAAACAAAAAAAAAAAAATAATGTACGCGGCCAAGAAAATTTGTGCAGCCTGAAAAAATTGTCGAGGGTCTTCGACGAAATTCTATGGGCTGTGGAACAACGTTAAAGGCCGACGAAAAATTGCGTGGAGGTTGTTAAGGTTTCAGAGGATCGTAGAAAAATTGTCGAGACCTTCCGTGTTGTTAAACATTTTCCATGAAATTTTAATTGTACGCTCGACTTGCGATGAAATGCTTTTTGTCCGCGATACCGTTGAGACCGTAGAAATTGTCAAACCACTTCGATAAAATGTTTAACACGTATACGACACGAAGAGACAAATTCTTTTGGTCGACGAAAAATCGTCTAATATTTTGGTGGAAAATACGAAGAAAGAAAATTGTCGAACGTGTTCGATAAAATTTTAGACGCGCGTTCGGTCCGAGAATCGTATTCGTATTCGTGAACGAAAGCCGAATTAATGGTGAAACGAGGGGACCACGTGCGCGTCGCGATACATTCCTGGAGACCCGGCGGGATCGAAGATTAATTGTGTGCGCATTAAGATCGTAAAAATTAATCAGCACCGCGGACGGCTGGAGAACTGTTATCGCGAGATGGTATCGCGGATCCGGATAAACCGGGTCTCTGATTAAACTGCGGATCCTTCTCCGTTTTTCTGCCGACTGGCTTTGGGCTACGCTTTCAATTTGAAAGTTAAATTGCGAGTCAACGAGACGTGGCTTGATCCACTCCGGCCTCGTAATGAAACACTTTATTCCAGTAATGTAAGAGAAAGACCAGTCGAATTACGCGAACGATCCACCATACAATTACGGGGTATTATTCCCCCATGGAATAATACCCCGTGAAGCGACATAGAGCCGCGAACGATCGAAACGTTTTATATATATGTATATATATGCATATATAAAAAAAAGGAAATCAAAATACACGGAAATCTATTTATCTCGGCTCGGTTAACGAGATCTAATTAAAATCGGCCGCCGATTGATCCGATCCGAAGATTGAAGAGAAATCGACGCTCCCGTCCGGTCGATTGGAAATTCCGCGGACGCGTGCACCGGCGAAATTGAAAATTTTCCACCTGGTATCGATTTAATGATATCGATCAGCCCCGCCGCGCGCCGATTTAAATTACAATAGAAGCGCGCGTGTCGACGCGTCGCGCCGCCGTTTTAATTGATTTATTACTCGCCCGCGAAACGAATTCACGTTTAATCCCTCGGCGCACCGACCCCGCGCTCTTTGCCCCCCTCGCGTTTCTTCGACTTCCGGCAGGATCAACGCCCACGCTGCTCACTTTCGCCGTTTTTTATCATGATTTTCAGGCTTGATCTACCAGAATGATAACGTTTCGTCTAATTGGCCTAAATACGTTTCTCCAGTACGTAGAAAAATATTTTACTCCTCGCGTACGGGGTGCAAGAGAATATTTTTACGAATTTCTTTGGCCGAGAACGAATCTTTTTATACTTTAGCGAGTTGTATTTGCAAACTGTTTAGACTGTTTCTCTTAAATTTAATAAACTCTTTTAACGCGTTCTCTCAACATCGCACGCGTGCGATGACCAAGACCACTATTTTGGGGTCTTGAAAATAGTCAAATGAACTTTATGCACATTGGTGTTGAAGGTGGTACGATGCAATAATAATTAGGGAGCTTGTGACTTTCATTTGCTAAATTGTTATCATTTTGCAAAGAAAGCGCGTTACGTTGAATAAGACACTTTAACAATGAAGATAGACAACGCAAATTGGTGGAAGCAAGCCTTAACGCAAAAATATCTTCATCTATATGCGTCGTTCCTGTAAATCAATTTCTATATTTCTTATTCGTTTGTCAAAAAAAAAAAGATG